ATATATATCATATTTCGATATATAAATTATATTGTAACATAAGGTTATTTTAAATTTATTTTAAAAATATTAAAATTCAATTCACAAAAAATAACATAAATAAAAACTAGATTGTATAAAAAGTTAAAAGAATATCTAAAAATATTTTTATCGAAAAAAGTGTCTTAAAATGATCTCAATAAAAAGATATAAAAAAAAAAACATTTTTACCCAATATAGACATTCATGTTTAATATATAAGAATGTATTACATTCAAACTACGTTTATCATGAAATTATACATCATTTATATTCTTATCATTTCATGCAATTTGTATCTTATTATTTATTAAATTTGTTTATAAAATACAATTTTTGTCCAATATCTTATTATTAAAATGTGTTGTCCATTATATTTTAAAAGATTCATTTTAGTTTAACATTCAAATTTAACTTAATGTTATTCTTTTGAAATAATGATTATTTTTATAATTTAAGAATACGATTTTCATTTGATTGATTTAAAACGTGAAATTTGTCTAATTTTACTAACTTACATGAAAATTATAGACTTCAACTATTACTCAAACAAAAAATGATTGTAAATATGGTAAAGAATCAACCCACGAGCAACTGAAAAACTACAGAGAATCTCATATCAAATAATTTTACAATTGCTTGTGAGACTCACTTTTTACATGATTTTTACCATATTTGCGACTTTGTTTTGTTCGAACAATAGTTTAACTTTGTAATTTACATATACTAAATTTATTGAGATAAAATTCACATTTTGAATTAAATTAAAAGAAAGCTCACACCCCAAAATAAATAAAAAATATTATTGTTTTAAAAAGACATTATTGAGTGAAATTTGGAAGTTAAATGATTAAAATAATTTTTTTAAAAAGATGCAAAACCAAAACGAGTTTTTATAATAAGATAAACATCAAAAATATATTTTAGCCTAAAAAATATCATCATACAATTAAGATTGAGTCAAAATTATAATAAATTAAAGAATAATAATTATAAAGGTCCTTCGGAGATGAATTATTTATTCACAGATTGACAAATTGGTAATATAAACTTGCTAAGTAACAACTTAACAAGGCAAAATTCAACACTGCATTCTTAAAGTCTACCAACTATCTCTCTTACTTACCTTCCTCTCTTCCTAACATCTATCTTTTTCTCTCTCCCTCCCCCTCTTTCTTTGGCACCTCCTTCCCTCTCTTCCTCGATTACAGTAAAGTTTAAAATGTACCAACTAATTTTTGGCTCTGTGAATTATAAATTAACATCAAGAAACAAGGACACATTGCTGTTAAAAACTAGAAATCAGTTTGTTATGCTATCTAACAACTGCATATTATCCCTCCAGTTATCATCAACTACAGAAGAGAATCACTTGTTCAATGACATGATTTTAGAGTGATTGCAAATGAAAGAAGTCAACGTACTGCTAGCCAGATTTGAACATTAATCTGCATACACAAATCAAATGGATTTGATCGGCAAACATGACATTTGCTTTGCCACTAACCTTGTTTTGCGAATATTTCAAATAAGATAACCACCATGATGAGGAAATATTTGAAGTCAATTCAATCTAAGCAAGTACCAGTAGTAACTAGAAAGGCTATGTCAACGTAATAGAGATATTAACTAAATAACTAAGAATATTTCAAAGGAAGAAATAGAGGTAGGAGAAAAATCAACTAGGGTTGTCGTGAGGAGTGAGAGACTCATATCACTTAATTAAGTAGATGAAGTTTGAATCTTAACTCTCAAATGTAGAAAACTCAAGTTCGAAAGAAATGTCAACCTATTTGATACTTGTTAAATTCCCGAGGGAGATTAGTTATGCATGTTCAATGGACGATACAACTTAGTCATGAAAAAAAAAATTTGAGTAAGAGGGAACAAGGCAAAATGTTGAAGGTCAATTTTGGGGTCAAAATTCAATCTAAGCAAGTACCAACAATAACCAGAAAGACTATTTTTTCCTTTGATAAATTAAGGTATCCTCTAGCTAAAGTTAAAGACTAATTCTTTGAAATACTGATATCCATTTAAGTGATTGACTCTCACCAAATATTTTTTCATAGTACCAATCAGGGATCAAATTGCTGAGCACATGCTCAAGGGACAAGGTAATCTACCAACCTTGTCACACCTTGTTGATTAACTAGAAAGGCTATGCCAACATAATAGAGATATTAACTAGGTATATTTCAAAGGGTGATACAGAGGAAGGAGAAAAAACGCAAAAGGTTGAAGGCCACGTTTCAGGCTCCAAAATTGTCTTGCTGTATATAACTAACAGCCTATCTAATATGAGATAACACGCTGCATATTACGAAGTCGAGAACAGGCCACAAGATAAAAACAAGTCCAATTAACAAGCACAAGGTATTAGATACAATTAACTTAAAAAATGAGACACCAACAAAAGGAATATCAATAGTCCCCAATGTTATTTCATTGCCGTTTTCCTTCATGTGTGAATTCAATTTTCCTAAAAAATAAATTCATATAGAAGACGAGAGTTTACATATTTCTGCTAAACTCTGGTACTTGAGCAATCCACTCCATGGTTCACATCACAGGCAACCTCTCACAGAAGAGCCAGCCTTCGATGGCAACCAATGCAAAAAAACAATCCACATAATTAATGGAGAAAGTGCACATCAATGTGCTGAAGAATCAGGCACGAGAGAAAATATTGAATTTCAATGAATCAATTATGCTCAAAGCTCCACAACCACAAGGCAATTCAACAGTGCATTCATAAAACCAGAACAACAAGTTACTCCATCGTAACCTGTACTCTACAAAAAGTGTGGCGATTTAATCCTGTTCATCCACTTATCGAAAAAACTGAAAAACTGTAACCATGAGAAACAATAATTAAAAATCAGAAACACTAAATCTAAAATAACAGTGAAATAAACCAATTCAAATTAAAGGATTCCTATATTCCCAGGTATAACTTGTAAGAAGCTATCGTAAAAAATAACAAATTTACCATACATAGCGATTTATAATTAAATGACAATATAAAAAATCATATACATTATGGTTACACTGTACTGTACATGCACTATTTATCGGAAAAAAGACAATGAAATTGCACCTTCAGTCCTCAGCAAACCAAACCCATAATTACCACAAAATAAACATGACAAAAAAGTGCAAAGTGCAAGAAGAAAATAGGACTTTTATTGTGTTAATGGATCACAGAATAAATTATAAATTACATGTATCATAGTTGTATCCTAATAAAAAAAATGGGGCTACTAAAGTAAGAAGCAAGAGGAGGAGGTGCGCTAACAAGAATCTACTCACTTTATAGGTCAGTGACTAGAATGACATAATTTTGTCATCACCAATAATCCCCACAAGAACAACTACCGTTTCTAAAATGGTGAAATCTACTAGCATCTCTTACCACAATTTCCCTTCCTGTAACGCTGGCTATATGTTTAATTGCACTGTGGCAATCACCACACAAACGATGACCCTGAGTAATTTGCAAAGGTGTCCAATGTGGAGTGTTGATTAGTCCAAAAGCTATAGCCAGTTTTTCACTATGGTATTTTAGCATGCGCTGTTCCTCTTCATCCACATCAGGAAGCAAAGTTTCATTTTCCTCAGCATAACCATGCCTAGATATCTCAACCATCAGGTAGTCCACTTTTTGATATATTTCCTTTGTTTGTGAGTGAGACTTATCTCCACAAAGGAAGGCATATGGCTGTTTCTTGACTTCGATCCAGCTACATGCTGGAAGCATTCTTAAACCCTTCCTCTTTAAGGTCTGCAAAACACCAGCAGCTTCCTTCAATTTGCCAGAACTGTTGTACAGGTTCAGAAGCACTATGTAATTACACAGCTTCTCAGGCTCCATCGCATAAAGTTTTTCAGCTGCTAACTTTCCCAGTTCTAGATTCTCGTGCATTCTGCATGCCCTCAGCAATGCTGCCCACATATTTGTTGTTGGTTTCAAAGGAACACTTTTTATTAGTGCATAAGCCTCATCTAGTAACCCCTCCCGACCTAATAGTTCAATCATACATGCATAATGCATTGCTCTGGGCTTAACCTTGTGATCTCTACTCATAGAGTAAAAAATTTCCCAACCTTGTGCTGATAATCCTGAATAGCTACAAGCAGATAAGACAGCAAGGAATGTGACATGGTTAGGAATCGTCCTTTCTTGAAGCATCTGCTCAAACATTTCTATAGCCTCTTCTCCTTGGCCGTGATTACCATATCCGGCAATCAATGCATTCCACGATATAACATTCTTGCGTTGCATCCTGTTGAAAACATGTCGAGCATCTTCCATCCTACCCCATTTGCTATAGAAGTCAACAAGTGCTGTGTTTGCCACAATATCTGTGCCATAACCATGACGAACCAAAGCAGCATGAGCTTGTTTTGCATGTTCTAATGATCCCAATCTTGCGCAAATTCTTATCACTATCGAAATAGTAAAATGATCTATTGTAGCAGCACTATCACGCATTTCATAGTATAAACTAAGAGCTTCCTCACTATAACCATGAAGTGCATAGCTAGCAATAATGGAATTCCATGCCACAGTTGTCTTCTCCGGCATTTGATCAAATACACAATGAGCATCTTCAATGCTACCACACTTGCTGTACATGTCAATCAGCGCACAAGACACAAAATTACCATCCCCGACCCCTCTTTTCAAAGCACATGAATGAATTTGCCTTCCCACGTGAATAAGACCCAATCCAGCCGATGCCCGAATCATGGTGGCGAACGTGCGAGATCTTCCATCATTAAACTCTTCCCACATACACAAAAACAGCTCAAAAGCTTCAGAGAATTTTCCCGAGTCCACAAGTCCGCCAATCATGGTCATCCATGAAGCCACGTCTTTCTCCGGCATTTCATCAAACAGCTTGCGTGCATCAAGCATGAGGCCACATTTCACATGCATAAGCAAAACCCTGTTCATCACATACAAATCAGGCTCAAACCCACTATTAATCATATAATTGAACACCCTCTTAACGCCTCTAATCGATCTCAAACCGACACAAGCACTCACTAAAGCATCATAAGTGCTACCACCCACATCAGAACCATCATGATCAAGTTCCAAAATTTCAAACAAGTCCATTGCCTCCCAGTACCTATTACACAAAACCAACTTCTCGATTTGACTACAGAGCCCAGAATAGGACGTTTTCCTGATTTGGGTATCATCCAAAACTGCCACTTGCCTTTCCACATACTCAACTTTCTTTGGTTTGGGTTTAAGCTTTTGTTCCTTGGAGGAACAACAAACCCGGGAAAAGGGGATGCTCCAATTTCTCACCTTTGAGGCAAAACAACACTCCCAAAAGGAAAGGTTCCCGGTAGAGGAAGAACCCAGAAAAGGGGTTTGGGATTTGTGAAGGGAAAATGCAATTTCCATTGGTTATAACAATTGGGATGAATAAGGAAGAAGCATGAGAGTGAGAGGTCCTATTCGTCATAGTGAAGAAGGGAATTTGAATGGGAAAAGGTGAGATTTGGATCGAGTCTGCATCAGAAACATCGGAGTTTCCGCCCAGGTAGGTATGGTAGTTAGTATCTAGGCAGATCCACTGTTGCAACATCCACATGTGAACATTGGAGCTGTTTCCGAGTTTATCCAACTGCTGCAACATTTTTTAAAAAAAGAACATCACACACGCAAATTTACATAAATATAAATATAATTTATTTTCTTTCATTTATAAATTAAAGTAAATACTGATTATAATAAGCCACAATATAGAAGGAAAAAAATAATGGTCACTAATTTATAAGGCATTTTACATTTTTTTATAAAATAATAATCTTATTTTTCATTTTTTATCCTATTAAAAATTTAGAGAATATGTTTTTTCAGATAATAAATTTTTTTTGATAAATACCTCATTTTTTAAACTCTTCGATTAATTTATCAATTTTATTGATACTTGATGGAAACTTTACTAGGTGTGTTTTGGTGTATAAATTTTGATATGAAATAATATCATCACATTTCTCATGAAAATTTAATGATAAATACGAAGGGTAAATTTGGTATGTAATGATTTTGTTTTATAAAACTAATAAAATTATCTATTATAACTAGTTGTATTGGTCCGTTTTGATTTGATTAAAGGAATTTTATAAATTATTGTGTATAATACTATCACGTACATGAATCAATCAGTCAACTAGTATGAGATTCTTTTAATTTAATAAATGATATTAAGTTCGAAACTTGAATATGTAGCTTAGTTAATTATTCAAAAATAACTTTATCATCTTGATCTTATTCAACTCAAACATCTAGCAGAGAATACTTGTTGTATAAACAAAAATAAATAAATTACTATATAACAAATTTGTTAATTGTTATATCTATTATTTTTAATTGTTGTAACTTCAAACATTGACTATGGAGAACTTAAAGACAATCTACTAGGGATAAAAATTTGTTTTTTTTTTCTTTTGTGTATAGATTTGTACCATTACTAGTTGGGGGCAAATAGAGGCTAGAGGAATGGGGAGGCAAAAGAGGCCATAGGTGATGATGCAAATGGTGAAAGGAGTAAAGGAAGAGACAATGATGGAAGGATGGGAAGGATGAGAAGAAAAAAATTGTGATAAAACTAACGGTCGAAAAAGTGTCGCACCATAAATTACATATAAAAAAGTGATATATGATAGCATATCTTTAAAAGTAATAATAAAAATAATTTTAATTAATTGATAATTTTATCTAACCATAATGGTGCATATTTACTACATTTAATAACTAATTAAAAATTCTCAACTTATTGTACTTTTTGTCATAATATTTTAAGATTTTGTAGATTTTGTTTTCTAACTTTCAAAATTATACATTTTATTACCTAATTTTTTAATTTTTATACTTTTTTTTTATCATTTTACTGGTTAACTTTTTAATGTCGTTAATTAGTTAATATTTTATATTGATCATTAATGTAGATTAATGATGTGATATACAAATAATTACATGATTATTGACATGATAACTAATATATATAAAAAATTATATTACACTTTTTTGTCACCTAAATTTTTTAATTTTTACATATTTTATCACTTAATTTTTATATATTTTTATCATCAATTAACTAATAAAATTGTGTCATACTATATAAAAAAATTATTATTTATATATTTATATAAATTTAATATTATTAACATTAAATTGTACATGTTGTAAATAAATATTAAATATTACACTATTATTTCTTTTCAAATCTAATTTGTGCTTAAAACAATTACATAGAACGATTTTCACAACTATCAAATATTATTTTCACTAAACAACTTTTACAATTTTCTTTGGCTCAATGAGTTAATTTTGTTTATGTATATTATTGTAGTTTTTCATTTTATTAATTAAATAAAATTTATGTAAAGTATATATATTTTTTAAATAATTAAGAGTTACAGTTAGTTACCTTATTTTTTTTTAAAATGATACTAAATTCTAAATTTATTCAATTATAATACTATGTATCAATTTAGTAACATAATCTCAAACGTATACTATTGAAATAGTCTAATTAACCAAAATTAACTAGTTGGTTAACATTAACAAACGTAAAATTTTTACACTTTCATTATTATTGTATGGAGTGATGCTCTTTTGTAAAATAAAAAATAAAAAATTATTTTTATGTTAAAATCTTAAATTATCTCAATAGAGTTACTATCATTAGCATCTCTGTTGTTGATTTATTTTTTTTTCCTGCTAGCACGTTATGGAATTTTGTATCTCATTCCCATGTAAAATATGCTAGCAGACTAATATTTTTTTATTATTTTTTTACATCTTAGAATAAAATACATTATTTACATGTTTAATTTAAATAAAAAGGACAAAAAGACATTTCAACATGCTTTAGAAATAATCAGTTTTCTTTGTTTCAGGAAATATGAAAATTGACATAAATCACAATGACCAGCAGTACATGGCAATAAAAAGAGGAGAATATAAAATTGGTATATAATTAAAATTAGCCATTGAAAATAGATTTTTTATCCTTGAATGCTTTAATGAATATGTAAATGAACTTAGATTCTAAGACGTCATGCATTAAATTATATGTGAACCATCAAAACAAATTAATTGCTCTCTTACAGCAAATGACAACCAAAAAGTCTAAATACTAATGGAAAGAATCAAAAGAGAGAAGTCGAAAAAAAATATGATTATTTGTAAAAATGCACTGTGATTTATGAGAATATATATAATTGATATGCTCAGGGAGGATATATTTTAATTATTTTTCTTTTGAAAGGTCAAAAGAAAGAGAATTTATTAACTGATACCATAGCATGTTGCAAGTAGTACCAGATTGAGCATTAAGAAAAAAAATGCAATAGATCGGAAAAAACTTAACCAAAACCTGTAACAATAATATAGTAAATAGGAGTAACATGAAATTAAATTAATCTCTAATTTAGAGGTTGTGGGTGTTTAATGAAATTTCCTTCGGAATGTGTTTGAATAATGAATTTGATTAGGATAATTTATTTATTTGAAGAATTTTAAATTTTTTAAGGTGAAATATTTTGTTTGGATAGAAAATTTATAAAGAATTTGAAATTCAAGCATTTATGAAATTTCTTAAAATAGTAGAATTTTAAATTTTTTCAAAAAAAATAAGAATTTAAAATTTCTCATATTTATTTTTCTTATTTTACTTATATATTTTATTTTATCTCTTATTTCTTCATTATTTTAATTATTGAATATTTAAAAATATCTTTTAAATTATTAAATATTATTTAATATTAATTTTTAAAATTATTAAATATTTTAAAATTGGTTAATATTTATTTTTATAAAATTTAATTTAAAAATATCAATATATGAATATATTTTTAAAATTAATTTTATCATAGTGGAATCAAATTAACATATCCAAACTAAAAATTAAAATTTTAAAAATTTAAAATTGACTTATCCAAACAAAATATTTCTAAAATGATACAAATTGAAATCAAAATAATGCAAATACTTAAAAAAAAAAAAAAAGTAATGCAAATACCAAAATTTTTAAATTTCTTGAATTTATAAAATCTTTCGTCCAAAGACTAATTCAAATATTTTGTTTGTTACATCAAATAAGTGAGGTATAACCAAGAATTAATATATGTTCACGTAATGTAATTTCTGTTGATCAATAATTATTTTAATATTATGAAAATTAATTATGAAAGTAGTAGGTCGACCCCTGTATTTCAAAATACGTCTTACAACTACCAAGTTAAAATATTTGATTATTGATAGAGTATAATATTAGAGTAAGTTTGAGGTTTTGTGATATAAAAACGTATGAAGGTAGTATAGTCTAAATTATTCAATAATAATAGGTTGTGTTTGGTAAAATTCACTTATAAATTGATTGAAAACTTGTAAACTAACTAAAAATTTATAAATTAATTAAAAGCTTATAAGTTATAAGTTATGAGCTAAAAAGTAAAAAATTTATAAGCTAATTAATTTATTTAAACGTGTTTCATAAAATTCACTGATAAGCTAATTAGTCAATATAAAATAACATATTTATTTATTTAATAATGAGTAAGACGTAATAACATGTAAATAAAATGATTTTTAAATTATAAAAGGTATAAAAAAATCAAGTGAATTAACGAGGATTAAAAAAAAAGGAAAAAATTGAAAAGTTTATAAATTACAAATTATTTCAATTAGCTTATGAAAATAAACTCCCACATTAAATAAACTTATTATGATTAAACTAATTTATGAAACTGATTATAAAGGAGCTTATAAATTTTTTAAATACCTTGTCATACTCACCTGGTAACTTCTCTACTCCATTAATACAACATATATTAACATTTTTTATACTATGTAAATGAGTTGTTTAATATGACATTCTTTACATTATAATGTCTCTATAATTAGGCATAAATACGTAAATATTAACATATTCATATATTACACCACACCATCTTTACATTCAAAGGGACTTGAATGCTTTCATTAATGTACATAAATATTTGTATTTTTTTTTTATGTAATTTAATCTAAAAAATCATAGGAAGAATAAAAGTATAACTTAGCCTAAAAAATTATTAATTAGTCCAAGATATTTTTTTCTTTTTTCATTTTTGATAGATAGCTAGTTAGTTATTAGATAATATTGAGTTGTATTAACTAGCTCAGGATATAGCATAAGATTAGTAATATTTAACAAAATATAAAAAAAAAATATTTGAAACTAAAAAAATGTAATTAAAAAATGGATCTATAAATATTTTACCAAAAAAATTGATCTATAAATAAATAAATAAAAAAACATGAATTTAAAAATTAAGTTGAGATAAAAAAAAAATATTGAAATTAAATAAATTAAAATAAAATTAACCTAGAGTTTATTTGAATAAATTTCTTCAAAAGCATTTATAAGAAAAAATGATAACATGAAGTAAATTTCTTTACAAGTTAAAACGAGTTTTTACATGAATTAAAAAAAACATTTTGGAGACTCTAACATGATAAAAATTTTCAAATTAACTTATACATACGTATTTTTGTACAGTCTATTTTGTGATATTTATATCAACAGTTACTTCACTATTAATTATTATAATGAAAAGGAAAGGGGGATCTTTGTGTAACTTCAAACCATGGAAGTAGTTGATGAGAATTCCATACTGAGGCCGAAGTTCATAAATTCACTCCACAATGTCAGACAACAACAAAAGAAAAGGACCTCTTCTGATCTCAATAAATAACCCTTCATTTCAATTTACAACCTCAACTAGTCATTGCGGGGAACAAAACTTTAAAGTTTCTTTCATGGTCTAATGGTGTACTCTCTCATCTCAACTTTAGTGCTTGCTTTACTTATGTTGCACCTCTCCCCCTCCCCCTCTTTCTTTAGCACCTCTTTCCC